GGAATGGCATTGTATTAAGGAGGGAAAGGAATTATTGCCGTTTGTGGGATTCTCTGCATCTCAAATTCCCAAGTGATTCTGGTCAGTAGCCGCTCTGGGCATGAGATTGTCTCCTAAAGTGATGGCGGCCACAGCACGAATTGCTGCAGCCTTTCTGGAGAGCAGCCTGAGTGTGCATATGAAGAGCTTTAAGTGGCTTAAGCCTCTTGGTCCTGCGGTTCCTCTTCTGGGATTAGTTGTAAGGAAAGAGCCACAGGTGCAGTCACAGATGGACGCACTAGAATATTAACTATGTCATTATTCTAACAGTACCAAAAAATACTGAAATCGCCTCCATGTGCAGCAATATGGCAAATTCACTGAATGCATTGTTCTGCTGCATAAAAGTCATGACAGGAAAAATGTACAGGATGTTTTGCAAGGTTAAAAATGGCAAAATGCTGTGCTTTTGCATTTTTCCAATTTCCTGGTATAGTACACTAATACACACCTTGACAAATGAGAAAAATCATCTTACAGGCATTGGATTGTGGGTGATTTTATGCATTTTAATGCTTTCTATAACAATGATAATATGATGGAATAACCATTAGTTACGATTAGAAGCCATTATAAAATATAACATGGATGCCTTAAGAGCAGAGAGGTTATAACAACTTCCCAAAAGACAGATGCATGAAGCTTTCTGCATTTCTCCTAAACCTAGAGACTTAACTGCCCCCTGGATCCTCTCTTGTATGGCAGCCTCATAAGCAAATTCATACTCAGGTGTTCAATCTGTATTGTGTCTGTTTACTAGATTACATTAGAGCAATTGTGAAAATTTAGCACTACATGTGTTGATAATGGATTTGGAAAAGCGTGAGGGAATTATCTTGCGGAGAGCACACACCGGGAGTGATCCCCACATACAGCCTTGGACCAATGTTTAGATAGTCCGTAGTTGGGGGTGGGCATGGCAGACATTATTTTTTTAATTGGGAAGGCAGATATACAGAGAGAAGAGGTACAGAGAGAAAGATCTTCTGTCTGGCTGAGCCAGTCCAAAGCCAGGAGGCAGGAGCTTCCTCCAGGTCTGCCAGGAGGGTAAAGGGTCCCAAGACTTTGGGCTGTCCTTGACTGTTTTCCCAGGCCACAAGCAGGGATGTGGAAGGGAAGTGGGGCAGCTGGGATCAGAACTGGAATCCATACCGGATCCCGACATGTGCAAGGCAAGGACTTTAGCCACTAGGCAGACATTCTTTACCCGTCACCAACAATCTGCTCATATGCCCGGGCAGACAAATTTCTCATGTTCTTTGTGGCAGACATGTTGGACAACTCTAGTTGGCCAAATAGGAATAGAAATGCTGTGTTCTGTGAGACACGGCCCACAAAACCCTGCCTGGCATGTCGATCAGTGTCCCTTTTCAGCGGGGAAATGACGTAGTCACTGGGACCTTCTTTCCTCTCATAACTCAGAAAAGGAATCATCAGTCAACCTGTTCAGTTAGCCAAGACTATCACGTGGGCATTCCAATGTGGTCTTTTAAAATGAGGCACATGAGAACAACTCTTACCCTTTGCTGTGTACACAGCCCAGCTACGTTTCACTCTAGATGAGCAGGTGTAAAGACCACCCCACAAAATATCTTATGAAGAAAGAGGAAGCAGACCATTTGTATCACTTGTAAGTTACTAAGAGTTTATAGAGAATGCTTCTTACACAGAGGTAGAAAAATAGATAAGTTCCAATAAAGATCATTCTTGGGATTGATTTTTTAAAATCCCCTTTTATCTTTTTTTGTTCTCTGCTTTGGTCAGAACAGTTGTATCCTCCCAGAACTCATATAGTGAAATCTAGATGCTCAAAGTGATGTTTCTTGGGGGTGGGGATTTGGGATGCGATCAGTATGTGGGCAGAGTCCTCATGACTGGATTTCAAGCCCTGAGAGAAAGCTCCACACCTCTCTGCACCCACCACAAGACAGCGCAGCTAGAAGGTGCTATCTCTCAGTGAGACTTTGCCAAGAGTGAATCTACTGATTTGTGGCCACAGATTCACCAGCCTGCAGAACCACAGAAAGTAGATCTCTGAGGTTTTGTGTGCCCCATGTCCGTAGTGTTTTGTTCTGAATAGCAAAGTCCTTACTCTTCTATTTGGAAGTAGGTTCTGGGAGAAGAGTTTTGGCCTGTGTGTTGTTGTACTTCCTGTTCCTGGAAGGCTTCATGATGTAATAAGCACAAAGTATATAATAGGTAGAAACATAAATTAATGAATGTGAGCTGGTTGAAGGCAGTTTAACCTAGTGGGGGTTACCTCCCTTAAACTTGCCTGGGAGCATTCAGTTGGCAGAGGAAGGGTTTTGCCTGACACATACACACATAGATTAAACACAAAGCAAACACGTAAGACATCCATTACTGAATATCATTTCACATTATGAGATACATCAATTAAATGTATCTTGAGACCCAAAGCAGCTGACAAATTTGTTGAGTACAGATGTCCCATTACCACGCAGCTTTAGCTTTTGCCAGCATTACTAACTGGGGCAGTTTTTCAGTTCTGATCTTGCACAGATTTTCCACCTGATGACAGAGAGTAACACCAGGTGTTTGCACTCTCCTTTGTATCCCATGCAGATGGCACTAAGTTAAATAGCCAGTAAATCACAATTGCCAACTAAAAGTGTTTGCTTTTAAATTGACCTGGCCTGCCAACTGCACTGAGTTGTATAGTAAGAACTTTGTAGTAGTGATGTGTATATGTGTGTGTGTGTGTGTGTATAATCTTTCCTTTATGGAGTTGTATCCATACATTGTTAATTCATTTACATATTAGCTAGGGTTTTCCACAAAGAGAAGCAATTGTATTAGTAAAGTCACATTGTTAAGTTTGAGCTAGTCCAACTCTGATAGTGAAGGCTGGCAGTTTGGAGATTCAGAGTTGCAGCTGAAACCCAGAAGTAACCTTGCTGATGAGGCAGGGAGGAGTCAGCGTTGCAGATCAAATAGAAAGGCAGTCTTCTCGTGAAGTCCTCTTGCTGAGGGAACTCAGTCTTGGCCTGTTCATGTTGTGTTGTCTTTACTCCAATCTTCTCAGGTGCTTGAGGTCGCTATTTTTCTACCGAGATTACCTATCGGGAAGCCTGGAGGTGATCTGGAGTGTCTCGGTTCCCAGGTGCAGTTTCCCCAATAGCTTTCTGAGCAGCAGAGTGTTTGGGACTCTCAGCATCTCAAGTTCTACCTCTGTGGATGCAGCTACTTGGAGTCATAGACTGATGATAACGGCTCATTTGGGATCAAAACATGTCGGCAGCCTCTGCCAACAAAAATCCACTTTGAGCTTCTCTTAGGTGGTTTGGGTATGATGAGTCTTACTGTTCCACTCAACAAATGAGGAAAGATAAACTCTGCATGTGAAACACTTACAGTTGAGTGACAGGCTCATTGGGACAAAAATATCATTAATAAAGCAATATGACTGTGAAGGCTAAGAAATTGTAAAGGCTAGCACAGATGATTGATGAACATCCCAGTCACAGTGCCAAACTCACAGTACATGGCAAGTTCATGACTGAAGGAAGGCCTCTGGGGAAGGCTGACACACATGACCCTCCTCCAGGGATGACTCTCCCCCTGTGATTCAGTTCTAAGGAAATGCTGGGTAGTGTGGGGGTGCGATGACAGCTGAAGCCAGGGCAGCTCAGGTTACTTTTGGCTGTTCATGAGTAGCTGGTCAAAAGGACTAGAGAGCACACATTATTTGACCTCCGACAGTGTAGAGTTAGCATCCCACACGTGGCTTGACTATTATGTGGCTGTCAGTCTCCGCACTGCAGAGACTTCCTCACCTCACAGTGCTGATCACACTCTTTTTTATAAGTGGTAAGTGTAGAATGTTTTGTCCTCTCCTAAGTCAAAGATCCATTTGTCCCTTCAATTGTTTGCAACTCAGCTCGTCTTCCTGACATTACAGATTTCAGTATCCTTTAGAGAAAACTCCAAACTCATCCTCCCAGGACTAGCTTTGCCTACAGTTTCTGTGTCAATAATGTAGTGTTAGTGCAGTTCCAAATGACTGTATCCATCCAGCTGTAGCAACTATTGCATGGGACAAAAATCAGTAGGTCAGGCATTCTACTTCTACATCTGGAAATCCGACCTTAACCAAAGTCACCTGTTACAAAACCCTATCACTGTATAATCTGGACAACCTGTTAATAGGAAACTGTTTCCACTTGAAATGTCTTGACACCCTTAGACACAATAGAAGAATGTCATTTTCTAATTGATCTGGAGGTTATTTGTGTTCAGAAAATTTGAAGAAGTCAGCGAACCAGGATCTGGCAAAGTCCATATTATATATATATATCTTACAGTATCCTTGCTCTGTGAGAAACAAAGCCATTTGCTCTTCACTCATTGAGAGCAAATGCATGTATTCTGAAAACTGGTAGTGTGTTTTTGCATATGTCACACTTGCTTTGTTATGTTTTAAGATTTATTTATCTTATTGGAAAAGCAGATCGGATTTACAGAGAGAGACAGAGGCAGAGACAAAAATCTACTAACCGGTTTACTCCTCTAATGGCCAGAGCTGAGCCGATCTGAAGCCAGAGGCGTCTTCTAGGTTTCCCATGAAGATGCAGGAGCCCAAGGCTTTGAGCCATCCTCTACTGAAGTGGAGCAACCAGGACACGTACTGGCATTCAGATGGGATCCCAGCACTTACAAAGCAAGGATTTAGCCATTGAGTGATCATGTTGTGCCCCCATACCTGCTTTGATACTCAATATGCAAAAACTATTTAGACTTGCAGTTAAAAATCATTCTGGGAGAAATGGAACAAAGATAAGCTATAGCATACTTTTATTCTCTTGGCGATGATGGATGATGAACATTCTCTATTCAGCTTTGCACAGTAGGCAGTTCTGTGTCACAGTGTTGCAGAAAACAACAGCAAAAACAGTTTTATGGGTACTTTGCTCATACTGCTTCTCTGTCACTTTCTCTAGGAATGTCCCAGCGGTGTTGTTAATGAAGAAACCTTCAAAGAGATTTACTCACAGTTCTTTCCACAGGGAGGTAAGTACAAATGTTGACTTGTTACCATCATCTCCACATCATACATGAAATCATGAACTTAGCTTCATCTTTCCTGGCATGACTCTACAATTTTACTCTTTATATAAAATAATTAAGATACAGCATATAATTTTCCATGTATCAAATGTGAGATATTCAAAAGTATCAGATATTCAAGAAACTGCTGTTCCGTAAACAACAAAATTTACCAGACAACAAAAAACCTGCCGTGTGCCCAGTACTCTGTCGTGAAAGTGCACACCACTTTCTGGCTCTTAAGGGGTCCTTAAAATGGAACAAAGCTCTTTAACATGCAATGGAGGTCATATTTCATCCTCCCAGCTCTCAAAATGAGGACAAATATAATTATCCTCAATTTGCAGATATGAAATCTGGGGCTTGGAGAAGCTAAATAGTTTGCATAGGGCCACACGTTGGCAAAGTGGCAGTTCTAGATTATAACCTAGATTTTTCTGTAAACCTTCTGCTCATATACTCTGTCACTTTGGGTGACTTTCTAATGACTCCATAATGTGAAATAAATCATTCTAGATATTTTTATTTGTAAAGAAAGCATAAGGATAGCATGATGCTGGTGTGTGTGTGTGTGTGTGTGTGTGTGTGTGTGTGAGTATGTGTGTGTTAGATGAGTAATGAGACAAATTTCTCTTTTAACCCTTGTGTGCTTTCTGGGAAACCAACAGATGCCAAGTTCAAATGTGTTCATATATGTGTGAGGTACTTTCAGTATAACAGAAATGGATGGGTCTGTGCCCAACAGTAAAATATATGAAGTGTAGCAGATTGACAAGGTCGTTGTAAAATTCAAGTGTGATGAAGTTATTTCTGTGACTGCCCATAAGTAACGATGATCTAGTCCTTATTGTACGTTCATTAGTGCACACGGGACACACTGGCACGTATTCCTACAGGAAGATGTTGGACGCTGTTTTTCCCCACCCTAGCATCACAGTGATACCTTGGTTACAAGTGCGTCAACTCCGTGGGGATAAAGGTTCACCATTTTTTCTCCCTGCGGTGGACTGTCTCAAGGGGATGCATAGTGGAAGTGTAGCAGAAATTAATGGAAATAGAGAGAAGTATGTCCCCATGCATGTAGTACAAGGATGGACTCACAGCCAAATGGACGTGTAAAAATTCACAAAACACACCCGTTGCAAGAGTAGAAGGGAGAACGGTAGGGATGGGAGGAAATTTGGAGAGGGGAAAGGAAGACCCGGTGCCTATTAAACTGTGTCATAAAATAATAAGAAACAAACAAATAAGCAGGGAGGTCAACCTGTTTCCAAAGTAAATCCTTTTTCAGGCTGCAAGCCTTTCAAAAGCATTAGAGACGTTTCAGGCTGATGAAGCAGAAGCAAAGGGGCAGACTATGTTATCTGAAGCAGTTCTTTGTGCAGTAAGCTTTCAGGACTTTTGTGGGCTGGAATTGGGAGTGCGTGAGAGAGGATGACATGGCCTAGAAGGTAACAGATGCCAAGTTAAGAGATAGGGACTTTATCCTAGGGATAATATAGGTCCCATGATGGGCTGCAGTCAGAGTGTTTTAGTTAAATTTGTATTTGGGATACATTCAGCTAAAGACTATGGAGTTCTCACCAGGCAATATGCTGGAGAGAACTTCAGATAGAAAGCAACAACGTCTTTAAGCAGGGTGTGCAGAGTAGGAATGGGAAAGGGGATTGGATTACAGATAAATTATAAAAATGGTAACGTTAAAAAGATGTTTGAGTTTGTGTGAACTTCCAGGTATGGTCACGTCCAGAATTCTGTGATAGATAGCAGGCATCTGGTTATGGGATGAACGAGGGGATAGGATGCCAGCTTTGGTCAAGTCACATGTGAGGTTCTTGTGGGGATTTAGGCGACAGAAAGCAATTTGAGAAGGAACTGAGAAAGAAAAATCCAAAAGATTTTCATAGTCCTAAAAAAAACAATAAAGACATCAAACATAGACAAGAAGACAAGGAAGGTGAACATCGGAGGGCATCCTTAGGGGTGTGGAAACAGGATGTCTTTACCGAGTGTGCGCAGAACAACTTACACAAAATGCTGAAGAGTGAAGAGCACAAACAGCAGCCAAATTGCAGAGGGTGGAGAGGAAGTGGAAGAAAGGAAACAGGCAACTGGTGGAGACAGGAATGAGAAGAAACTTAGTGAAGAGACAGTGGGGGGTGGGGCAGGGAGAGCGCTGAGTCAGGAATCTAAGGAGGAGTTTTGCCTTGAGTAGAAAGGGGATCATCTAGTCTTTAACTTTGATCTCTATCCCACATGGAAGGTAACTGTTCTCCCTGTAGTTGTGCCAGGAGCTGATTTTGCCACCTAGCTTTCCATCACCGGAATTAATTGTTTCCTAGATAAAGAGCTACAGCCGCCTTCTGTCAAAGTAACTACAGTCACCTCTGGATTGATTGGAATATGATATCCCTTCCCCCAAAACAGTCTAGTCTCAAAATAGGCCAGAGGAATCCCATGAAAATGGAAGCTGAGTCATGTGGCTGCTGTACTCAAAGCCTTCCATCCTGCCGCAGTACGGACCACATGCTTTATCAAGTTATCGCCTGATTGTCACAATACTGAGCTCTTGTGCCCTCTCGACTTTTGCTTTCCCCCTTGGAGTTACTACAATCCAGCCACACTGGTTTCCCTGCCATTCTAGCAACACAGCAGTTATGTTACTGCCCCAGGACATTTGAATTTCTATCCCCACTGCTTGAAATTCTCGACAACCTCTTACCAACTGTGCCTCCCTCCACTGCCACCGTATTTTTGTGTTGTGTTTATGCTACATTTATTTATCGAAGCTGAACAAATTTAATGTATTTTACAATACAGATTTAGGAGCAAAGAGGTACTTCCCACTCTACACTCCTTTCTCCATTTATTACAACCTCCCCTTTTTTTCTTTTTTGTCCTTTCTTTTTTATTAATATTCTGATACAGTGCCTCGGTATTTTAAAGTCCCTTCAGCGTTACACACTCCATGTTATCCCACAGCACTCAAGACCACCTAATCACAGATGCTTTCCTGCCATTGTTGTTGTCGCTGTTCTCATTACAGAAACAGTTCCAAGGGAAGAGTTTTCTGTTGTGTTCACTATGGCATCAATAAGTTGAAGAATGATGGCTAACGGATGGCATCATTTGGTACATTCCACATCCATGAACAAATGCATATGTAACACCCATTTCTTGCATTGTCCATGACTACACAGTGGAATACTATACTTAAGAGACATTTTGAGTAGTACATAACCTTTAGATGTTAGTTATTTCAGTGCAAAAATTAAATTACTTTTTGTGTTTTCATTCACTGACCTAAAAAAAAAAAGTACTAAATACTTAGCTATCTTGGTCTTCAAACTCTTTGATTTTAGGTGTTTAGGGATTTCATGGATTGTCAAAATAGAAATTTTTACTAATGGTATTCTTTGAAGATAATTAAAACTTGTGGAAGACTCAGGAAGACCCATAATGACATGGACTCAGGCACTGTTGATGATGACTGGACAATCCCATCACATCCTGCTGTGTGTTATAGCACTTCACGACAGGAGTGTGAATGTCCAGTGTCTGCAGTAATTAAAGGTTAATTTGATCAACATTTGTTACCACACATAATTCTGAATTACTATAAACTTCTGAATTTTTTTAAAGAAAAAGCATTTGTGTCTGAATGTCTGCCAGTGTGTTGTTAGAGATGTCAACATAACAATACAGATGAAAGTCTTTACTTTTTTTTTCTTTAAATATGTAATTTATTCATCTATTACCTTTTTCCTTAAAGATTTATTTATTTTTATTGGAAAGGTAGATATACACAGAGGAGGAGAGGCAGAGAGGAAGATCCTCCATCCAATGATTCACTTCCCAAGTGGCCACAACGGCTGGTGCTACCTTGATCCGAAGCCAGGAGCCAGGAGCTGCTTTCAGGTCTCCCATGCGGGTGCAGGGTCCCAAGGCTCTGGGCAGTCCTCGACTGCTTTCCCAGGCCACAAGCAGGGAGCTGGATGGGAAGTGGAGCTGCCGGATTTAGAACCGGCGACCATATGGGATCCTGGTGTGTTCAAGGCGAGGACTTTAGCCACTAGGTCATGGCGCCAGGCCCCACATTGTTTTTTGATTGCTTAAAATATTTCATGTACAAGTTGGACACAGCTCCTTCATTAAAGTTTCATTCTTATTTGAAAATCAACCTTTCTTACATATAATATATTCACATAAGCAGACAAGATCTACTTTGGAAAGGATTCTTGTTAGAAAATCCAAAGGGATTTGAGGGAGTGGGGATCACTTTTACTCTCATACAAATGTTTTGATTATTCATGTTAATGGAATACATAAATCTAAAATTACCAGACATCATTGAAAAAGTGAAACATCTTTGAGCGATGACATGTAACTTAAAAAAAATTAATAGCATGCAAACAAATCATCTTACAGTGCTGTCAGGAAAAGGGAAATGACCTACGGAGGAAGACAGTCTCCGCTGGTGGGGAGAGTCATGTCATGGCCGTCCTCACGCTTTGGGGACATCGTTTATTGAGGTCGAACAGCACTGTTTCTCATGTTCAGTAACAACAGTAGGACTGTAAATTATGATCTCCCCATTTCCTCCAGAAAGACACTTTGTCTTATCCGCAGAACCCTCTGTGCAATTTGTATTCTGTATTGCTTTCTCTATTACTTAGTGACACAGCTTACCAGGCACTTGTTTGGTGCTCTGCATGTTAGCAAAACTGGATTGAAAAGAAGCCTTTTGTTTTCAGGGAATACAGCAAGTGTACTACGCAGTATGCCAGGATGAAATGGCTTGCTGATGTTGTTGCCTGTATGATAATGGCAATACTTTTCCAACTTCATATACAATGGATGTAGAGTACGGGTTCACATGAACCTTTTAAAGGTTCCCCAAAGATGGCAGGATCTTGAGATCATATTGCTTGTGTTATAGGAATTTCACATTTAAGTGTCTTAGT